AAGAGAGGCAGCGAAGCTTCATCTATATTTACAGCTGCTCCCCATCACTCCCATTACTGCTTGAGCTCCGCCCCCTGGCAGGTCAGTAGAGACATTAGATTCTCATAGGAGTGAGAACCCTACTGTGAACTGTGCCTGCAAGGGATTTAGGGTGCACACTCCTTATGAGGATCTAATGCCTGGTGATCTGAGGTGGAGCTGAGGTGGTGGTGCCAGTGCTGGGGAGCAGCTGCAAACACAGATCATCTTTAGCGGAGAGATTGGACTGCACAGAGACCATAATAAATCAACTGCTTGCAGACTCATAGCAAAACCTAGTCAGTGAGTGGCAAGTGACAATTAAGCTGAATCTGGTAGAAGGCTTTCTAGTGGCAAATGAGTTGATGTACTTCATCTGTCTAGCTGCGTCTGGTGGCAGGCTTCAAGTCAGAATCAATACTTATTTTAGCCTACACATGGCTGGCCAATGATTTTATTTACCACTTCCATTTGGGCCTCTTTCCCCCCCTGCGCCTTTGTCAGTTACAGTTTTGGTAAGCCCACAAGCTAACCCTAGCCAAAATGAGCAAAAAACAAATGCCACTGGAGAGCTTCTTTGCAAAGGGGGAAAGACCCAATTATGAGACAGCAGAAGACTCTAAGACTGCTAACAAAAAGAAAGCTGCATTTAAAATAAAATACCAAGAGTCCTACTTAAATTATGGGTTCACTGTAACAGATGACTCACACTCGCCAGGACTACTTTGTATAATGTGTCAAGAACAGCTATCCAGTGAAGCCATGAAACCTTCAAAACATGAGACCACACACCTGGCATTGAAAGATAGGTCTTTGGAATTTTTGGAAAGAGAAAAACATGAGCACAGAGAACAGAAGCAATTACTAAAGGCTACCACTTGGTCAAATGTGTCTGCACTGAGAGCATTATTCCTAGTGGCTGACCATACTGCTAAAGCTAAGAAACTCTTTACTATTGGTGAACAGTTGGTCCTGCCTGTTGCTAAGGACATCTGTCTTGAACTTTTAGGAGAGGCTGCAGTTCAAAAGGTGGCATTTGTTCCTCTTTTGGCCAGCACTGTAACTAGTCGAACTGATTAAATAGTAGAGGATACTGAGGCAAAATTGTTAGAGAAGATTAATGAGTCACCGTGGAATGCAATCCGGGTTGAAGTCTACTGATGTTGACAACAAGGCAATGATGCTTGTTTTTGTGAAATATATTTACAGGAGGATGTGCATGAGGATATGTTATATGTACTTTTGTTGCCAACCAACACCACAGCTACAGAACTAGTCAAATATCTGAATGATTACATATCAGGAAAACCGAATTGGTCATTTTTGCGTCAGCACATGCATGGACAAGTGGCTGCCATGACTGGACGGCTTTCTGGTTTCACTGCTCAGGTCAAAGAGGGCACTTCTGAATGTGAGCCTATGCACTGTGTCATCCATAGAGAAATGCTGGCTAACCGAGAAATGTTACCTGAATTTAACAACGTTTTGCAGGATGTGATTAAAATCATCAACCACATTAAAGTACATGCCCTTAACTCACATCTATTCACACAGCTCTGTGAGGAGATGGACCCAGAGTGCACACATCTTCTCTTACACACACAAGTGAGGTGGACTTCTAAAGGGGGCTCACTGGCCAGAGTTCTTGAGTTACTAGAGCCACTCCAGAGATTTCTTTTAGAAGAACAGTCACCACTGACAGCACATTTCAGTGACACAGAATGCACCACAAAACCTGCTTATTTGTGTGACATATTCAACCTGTTGAATGAACACAATCTGTCACTTCCAGGGAGAATGATGACTGTGTTCAGGTCATCAGATAAAAGTGGCTTCATTCAAAGCCAAACTGGAATTATGGGGGCAATGATGGAACACTGGGATTTTTGACATTTTCAAACATTAGCAGAGATTTTGAAAGAGACTGACCAGGGCCTTCTTTCTCCCAGCTGGTGCATGATCGCCTATCTCAGCTTTCAAAAGAGTTTGAGCATGACTCCCCAACCACAAAAGACTCCCCGAACTGGGAAGGAATGGATCCGCGGCCCATTTGTGAATAAGCCAGGTGAATCGACTTTGTCCTTGCTAGAGGAGGGTCAGCTGCTTGAGATCACAGATGACAGTGGCCTTAAAAGTATGTGAGGCAAGTTCAAATCTCCATACCTTCTGGATTAAAGTCAAGGCAGAATATCCCGAGATTGCCACAAATACATGGAGAAGCCTGCTTCCATTTCCAACATCCTATCTTTGTGAGGCAGGGTTTTCTGCAGGGACAGCACCCAAAATGAGATTACAAAGGAAACCGGACATACGCAACACACTTTGGGTGTCACTTCTCCCATCACCCTCGATGGGACCGTCTAGTTGCAGGAAAACAAGCTCAGGGCTGCCACTGATACTGCCTCATGGTGAGTCGTGTAATTATTCTATTATGTATTATAATGTAATAATAATAGAAATAAAGTGCACGATAAATTTAATGCCCTTGAATCATCCTGAAACCATCTACTCCCAACCCCCTGCCCCTGGGTCCATGGAAAAATTTTCTTCCACAAAACTGGTCCCTTGCTGCCAGAAAAGTTGGGGACTGCTGCCTTAGGGCACATCTTGCAACAAACAGCTTCTGAAATATCAGCTCCAGTTCTACTGCTCTGAAAACTAGGCCTTTCTATATTTTAGGTTGCATTTTCACCACAAGGGTAGTGAGTTCTCTTTAAAAAGGAGCCCTAATTTTCTAAATCCAGAAAATGTACAAAATCAGGAATGAACCCTAAATGTAAACTATGGACTTTAGGCAATAATCACTTGTTGATATAGGTTCATCCATTGTAATAAACGTGCCACTCCAGTGGGGGATATTGGTAATAGGGAGAATATGTATCTGTGAGAACAGGGCATATGGGTAAAGCTCTGTACTGTCTGCTCAGTTTTGCTGTGACCCTAAAACTGCTCAAGGGGATTTCAAATATACTTAAAAACACAACTAATTCTCTTCTTAAGTATCTGCTGATATTGTTTGTATACCTTTGCCTTTTCAATTTCCCTCACTCTTGCCAGAGGCTTTTAGGTTATTTTATCAATCAGGCAAAGTGCTTCATAGATGGAAAACAAGGCCATCTTTTCACTCTAGCACTAGGGGTAATGAATCTTGGAGAATGAGTTACAAGTACAGAGCTGACCTTGGGACTTCTTTCCTTCTATTCACCTTTGAATGTGGGCATGAACTGGAATGTATGTGAAATACATTTAGAAAAGTAAGAAAAGTTGAAGAGGTCCCATTGCATGGGGCCGATGGACAATTTCACTAGCTGGAAACTGACACTTTTTAAAGTGTCAATTTCTCAAAAGAGAGCAATTTTTCCATGTTGCTGATAACCTTTTTGAACATATGTAGAGCAAGGCATGTTGGTTGCTACTTTGATAGATTTTTCCCCTCTGTTTTATGTCTATGCCAAATAGCAGATGATCTAGCTTGGTTTTAGAAGAAAAATAAAATTAGTTTAAGAGATTTATAATCCCTAAAGGGAAGAAAACAAGTTTTATACACAATTTCAAAGTATAACATGTTTAGCCATATTTTAGATTTGGAAAATTTTCCGTGCTTGCCTGCAGGCTGCCTTAGGGGACACTAACATCTCTTTTTCTGCCTTTACACAATGAAGCATCACCTTTCAACGATGAACTTAGAGTACAACTAAGCTCTTGGAAGTTGCCTTTCTCATGCTTCCATTCCATAGCCCCCCCCTTTATTTTGGTCACTCTATAATAGCAGTTAATTCTTATGTAGCACCTTGTATGGCCAGGCACTGTTCTGAATCCACTCCGTGTAATCATTATAACAGTCCTATGAGAGAGATACTTTCTAATAGATTCCTTCCTTGACTGCCTGATAGCCTGTGAATTCCTTGAGGGTGGAGATTTTGTGTTTTTGCTTTTGATCCAAACAATGCCCAATAGAAGTTTGCTATTTATTGTGTGCTTGTTGTAGATAGCACATTTCTAGAGTTGATAAAGAAGAAAATTTCTGTCTACTTGAGGCAAAATATTTTTTTGGTGTACTCCAAAAAAAAAGGTAGAGGATGATGCTGTGTAATGTGTCATGGTCCTAACTAAACAGTGACTTCGGAAGGAAAGGAGTTCGGGGGACATCACTTCCATCCGCGAACTCTCAGGCCCCTTCTCAGCTTTTGTGAGGTGGGAGGAGGAATGAAGAACAAGCAAAGTTTGGAAAACCCAGCGGGGCTTCATGAACATAGTCACCGTGTCCAGGAACCAAATGAGACCCCAATGAAGAATAATACTTATTCACTGTTATTAACAGTAAATGCTGAAATTAATTAATTTAGTAAACACTGAATTTTAAAAGAGCAAATGACCTAGTCTATGGGTTAGCTAAGCTCTTTATTCAGAATTATAGGAATATAGTGGAAAGAATGAATATTTATAATCAGGAGGAACTAGTTTGAATCTGATTTCAACTCTGAAATGCTCTTTAACCTTGGACAAAACATTTGAGAGCTCTCAGTTTCTTTTCTTTTTGCAAAATAGGGGTGTAATCCACACTGCAGAGTCATAGTAAGTATTGAATAAACTGACGTGTTAAGGATATAATCTATACTAGATGCTTTGTAGACTGGTAGTCACAGTCATCATTGCTTCCCTTTTATTTTCTCTCACACTGCAAACATCAAGCCATTCCTTTGCTTATATTTAAATGTCACTATGTACTGGCCAACCAGAGGGGGGGGAAATTATAATTTCAGTTTATTCAGTAATTTTAATTATTAAGCTTAAAACTAACTCCAGAAATGCATTGGTTCAACTAGATTTGGGATTACATCATTTTTTCTTCCTGTTCCTCATTTTAAACACTGACATTGGAAGTGGCCAATGTCACTTGTTCAGTCTTATCTGAGGCACCATCCCGAAATAGCTGCGGGAGTTAGATACAAGCTTCAACGAACAGTTCACCGGCGTCACTGCTGGAGCAGAGCATCACGACAAGGCACCACAGATGCTGAGTGGATGGAATAAAGGTACGTAAAAAACAATAATTCGGCTTTTTTGTACCAAGACTTTTTTAATGAAATGTTTGTTACTTCACAATGTTTTCCAACTCATTTCTTTTAAAGTTTATTGTTAAAATAATTTGGGGCATCACAGGCAATATTTTAGTTGGTATACATGCAGAGAAACAGGATTAAATATGTTAGCACTTTTTCTCATCAGGGGGTGAAAGGGAGGGACTCTCAAATTTAATATACCCCTGAGTGACCTGTGAATAGCATTCTACAGATTCTACATAAAGTTTCCCAGATAATGTGTGTGCTGTATTAAGTATGGCAGACATGTCGATAAACACAACCTTTTTTTCCCCTTCCTTGTGGTTTGTTTTAAACTCTGAAGGTGGTAATTTTGAAATAAAATAAAAGCCAACTATTGATCAAAGCAAGACTTTTAGATTTCAGAGAAAACAAGCTACCAGTTTTGCTTTTCTTTTTTGTTCCATACAGCAGTTTGGAAAGAAGCATTTATCCCTGGGGGCTCTGTATGAATGAAGTTTCAAACTGGACCATGATGTCAATGTATACTCAGTAATGAATACTTTTTTAGGTCTCACTATATTACAACTCCCTTGGAACTCGTAATTTCAAAAGGCAATCATATACATTCAAACAGTCACTTAACTCTAGCCCAATTACTCTGCTGGGCTACATAAGTCTTACAGTGAGCTTCCAATCCATGGAAGTACTGTCCTACACTGTGAGTTAAGAAACAGGGTATAGACTTGAGGTAATGCCTCTTCCTTCACCTGGGAAGATCTGGGCTTCATCAAATTATAGAAGCCCCAAATACTAATGAGTGTGGTTAGGCAAAGAGAAATATTAATGTTAAGAGATTCCCAGTTCAACTCGTCAGAGGCCTGTTAGACTGATATACACTTGACCTCTGCCTTTGGTTGACTTTTAACTCAATTCATCAGGATTATTACAATAACTAAAAAAACCTCCCTTTCAGACACAGGGTCAAAACAACATACTAGGTGTAGAGACCACTTATTCACAAACATCGAACTCATAGTTAACAGTTATCTTTTTCTCACCACCACCACAAACAACAAAAGGTTAAAGTGTCAAAGCCTGCAGCTATCATATTTTCATGAAAGGAACAACTTCTAAACCAAGGGCTGGTTGAGACGCAGGCTGTATGACCATTTGGGTAAATGCCTTTACTTGGAGAGATAATACAACAAGCAGAAGAAATTCTACTTGTTTACTTAACATAAATTACTTTTGTGCAAGATTGAGATTTAACATAAAAGCAATTCTTAGCAAAGAGATAAGTGAAATATAACTCAATTATGTCTATGAAAGTTTTTATGACCCTGGATGATCAACATTGAAAAAATGGAGTTAGAATGCTAAAGACAAATAAGTGCATACGAATTTTTTCTTATTGCTCTACTTCCTCCCTGAAAACAAAGTACAGTTTTCTGTAAGGAAGATATGTCCTGGAGCCAAAACATAGCCTGGCTTTAAATAGTATCTTTTTATGTAACATCTTGCCTCTCAGAATACATGTGTAATAATATGTAAAATAGGCACAACTCTGTCTAGATCATGAGATTGTTACAAGGCGTAAATGAATTATTCCATGTAGAAAACACCTATAAAACAGTAGCTATATAATAAGTATTAAAATCATAGAAAAATGAATATAATTATGCAGCAAGTTCCCTGAGGGCAGAGAATAAGTTTTCTATTCTCCGTACCAGTCAAGCACCAGGCGTGTTATCTGGCAAATAGAAGGTGGATGGTGCACAGTTTGGGTTTGAGTAATAGAAGACAAGATTTACAGAAGGAAATTTTGACAGCAAACAGCCATGACTGAAAACTATTTCATGAATAATTTAATATTATTACTTGCACTGACATAAAAAGTGTAAAGTATAATCCTGCCCTGAAGAGGTCAAGGCTAAAAATTCATGCTTACAGCTAAACCATATTATTAGAAACAATGAACATGGCCCCTGGAAAAAAATGCATCTTGTCACATGACATGGGTACAGAGTAAAGATTCAGTAGAGCATCTAGGGTTGATATTTAGAGTTTGGATATCCCACATGGACAACCTGATAATTTAGGAAAATGTCACTGATTATGATAACAGTCTCTACTTTGCCTGGGCTACAGAGTAGGTTAACATATTTAGGCAAAATGCATATTAATTCAATTAGCAGCAGATGGTAACAGCAGGTGAGATTTGTGTTCTGAACAGAGCCTCTTTAGACTGTGTGTTTCACTTGCAGTAATGGATCCAAGGATAGCTGCTCAGTTTATTGTGATAAATATTATGGATTTTCACAGCACTTCCCTGCCGAAGATTTATCTTGTTTTGACACTGACTGTAAAGCAAATGTGAGAAGGTGAGTTATCTGTTATTGCAAAACTCCAAATCTGCTTCTGAATCCAATGGAGTTTCTGATTAGTCCTTTGGCCCATCAATCTAATTCTTGATCCTGAATACTAAAGTGCATTTAATTAATATTTATTCAATAACTAGCACCATCTGCCAGCAATACATTATGTGAAATACTTGTAAGGGTCAAAGAAGATGATTAAGTTTAAGTGGCAAACCCCACCTCACCTCACTTAATTGAATTTTCACCTTGCCGGGTGCTGGTTAGTTACTAGCAACCATCATATTGAACTTTCACCATGTCCTAGGAACACCTTTTTTATTCATGAGGAATGCACAGTTCAGAGAGATTTAGGTCACTTACCAAAACTGAAAGGTATAAACCAGGTCACTTATCTAGTACCAAGAAAGTATTGATAGAACCATTAGTAATACAGATTTTGGAATATTACAGTTTAAAAGCTCTGCTAGGACACTGTGACCTTTGGCAAATTGATTTTCATACCAACTAGTAGGATCACATGTCCTGGTTTCCCCCAAACAGCCTTGGTTTATACCTGTTGTCCCAAAGTAAGTATGAATAATGTTCCGTCTTCGGTTTGGACAATACATTACATAGCCATCCCACCGGTAAGCATCAGCCTTCCTAAGTGCAGAGGAAGAAGGAAAAACACTTTTGAGGACACTGTTGAGAGTCAATGTGGTGACAAAGGTGAAGCCCTTAGCAGAGGCACAGCACAGTTTTGCAAACCTCTGTCATCTTATCAACCAATGTGACCCCAATAAATTTAATTTTTAAAAAAGTTTTCTGTTATAATTATCACCATCATCGTCATCAGTCTAATAACACTGTTCAGGTGTTTTACATTAAGTAACAGGTCTGTGTGGAATGAGAGGTATAGGTGATATGCTGTGTAGGGTACAGAAAACTGTAAGTAGGGACTGAATTATGGGGGTGCTGTAGGTCAGGATGAGGAGTTTGGTCTCTATATTTTCAGGGGAAACTAGTGAGGGTTTTGAAAATGAAAATTGATGATGCCATTATATCTTTTTTTTTTTTTTTTAGGAAAAGAGCCCTTAGTAAAGTATTTTCTCTCCTCCTTGTCCCCCCAATCTTCCTGTTTCATGACTTCCATCCAGTCCATCACCACTTCTCTTCCTGGCTGCTTCCAAGCCCGACCGAATGCACGCCCTTCCCTCCATCCCCACCACACACCTCCTGGCCTGGCCACTCTCATCTCTCATCACGAACATTCCGGACGCCGTAATCCTCACTGCTCTCCTGCTGCCCCTCTTCTACCCCTGCCTCAGTCCACTCATCACATAGAAGCCAGAATCCTCTCCTGTTTCCTTTTTAAAACGTTTTGGGGGATAATTTTAGATGTAAAAGAAAGAGGTAAAGACAGGACAGAGAATTCCTGTGTACCTCTCACCCAACCTTACCGGTGTTAACATTCTATAAAACCACGGCACGTTCACTGAAACTGAGCCTGTGGTACATTCCTGTTAACTAAACAACAAACTTTATTTGGGTGTCACCAGGGTTTCCTTTTTCTTTCTCAAGATTTAGTCCAGAAAACACTGTTGCATGTAGTCAATGTCTCTCCATAGTCTTGTGCAATTTGTGACAGTATCTCAGTCTTCCCTTGCTTCTCCGTGACCCTGGCGGTTCTGATGAACGCTGCTCAGGTATTTTGTGTAATTTACCTCACTTTGGGTTTACCCGATGTTTTCTCATGACTATGCATTTGAGGCCATGACCCCTGGGAATGAAATATCCTCATCACATCATGTCAGGGAGAATGTTAGTTCAGGATGCTGTAATAAAATACCGCAGACTGGGTAGCTTATAAACAACAGAAATTTCTCATAGTTCTGGAGGCTGGAAGTCTGAGAGCAGGGTGCCCCCATAACTGGGTAAGGGCCCTTCTCCGAGCTGTAACCTTCGTATCCTCACCTGGAGGAAAGGATGAGGCCTCTTTCTGGGGCCTCTTTTGGAAGGCGCAAGGCTCCTCCCTCATAACGTCATCACATCCCAAAGATTTAGTCCCTAGCAGCGCATGATGTCCACATGACTGTTATCACTTAGCCCTGACGTCGTCTGCTCAGTGTTTTCACTCCAAAGTTATGTTTTTCCTGTTCCACAGTCTGTTCAGTAGGAGCAAGTCAAAACCCAGCCCATACTCAAGAGGAGAGAAATGAGGTACCACCTCCTGGAGGAGAAAAGATCTGCATTTATATTTTGGAATTTATCCATAAGAAATGTTTGCCCCTTCTCCCTTTATTTATTTATTCATTTATTTAATTATGGATTCATGGCTATTTATTATATAACAGACTGTTTAAAATATAGATAACATGCCATTACTTGTCTTTTAAAAATGCCCCAGTGGCTTTCCTTTACACTAAACTAAAATCTAAACTCTTTATCCTTCTGAAGAAATCTATATAATACACTAGTCTGAGATCTTCTCTCATACCACTCCCTACTCCTGCCGCCCTCCCCAGCACACTGATGCACAGCTACGCTGGCCTCTGCTTGAACTTGACATGGTTCCCCTGTTCCCACCTAGGGACTTGAGTCTAACTGGTCTCTGCTAGGAATACTCTTATCTCTGATCTTTGCATTCAGGACTCAGCTTAAAAGCCACCTGTTCAGAGAAACCTCTCGTAATCAAAGTAATTAGTCCATTTCATTAACTTATACTGCTATGAGCACTCATTATAATTGGAACTTATTATTTCAATGTATCTGTTTGTTGTTTGTTTGCTCCCAGCTCTCTCACTAGAATATAAACCCTGTGAGAACAGGAACATTTCACCACACCTGGCACTCAGAACATTATCTATGGCGTAAGAAATAACAAATGCCCAGTGAATGTTTACATAAATACATAAATGAAGGAAGAGGAGGACCAGGAGACCTGAGACAGGAGGATGAATTAGAAAAATGATATAATAAGCAAGGCAGGAGGCAATGAAGACTTACATTTCAAAGACTCGTAACTTCCTGCCCATGCTGTATGTACATCATTGGCTCATTCTCTCGTTACTAAAGATGGTTTCATTCTTACTTGAGAGTCATGAATCTCAAATTCTGATGTGGGAAGTTGCCTGTAGTTAAGCAGCAAAGCTACATTTGTTTTTTTTTTTTATTTAGTTATTTTTCAAGTACAGTTTTTTGTCTATTTTTCCCATCCCAGCCTCCCCCGCCCCTTGCTCCCCACCTCCCTCCCATTTCCACCCCCTTAGTTCTCGTCCCTGTGTCCTTCCTATTTGTTCCTCCAAATCCCTCCCCCTTTTTCCCCTTAACTTCCCTTCCTTCTCCCCTCTGGTCACTATCCCCTTGTTCTCTATTTCAGTGTCTTTGTTTTTTGTTTTGTTTTTTTTCTGCTTGCTTGTTTGTTTTATTCTTTAGCTTCCTGTTAAAGGTGAGATCATATGGTATTTGTCCTTCAATGCCTGGCCTATCTCACTCAGCATAATGCTTTCCAGTTCATCCATGTTGTTGCAAAGGGTAGTAGCTCCTTCTTTCTCTCTGCTGCATAGAATTCCATTGTGTATATGTACCACAATTTTTGGATCCATTCATTTACTGATGGGCACCTAGGTTGCTTCCAACTCTTGGCTATTGTAAATTGTGCTGCTATGAACATTGTGGTGCATAGCAAAGCTACATTTGTTAGGCAGGACAGATAGCAAACAGGCAGGGCGGAGCACGGATGCACGTCCCATCCACTGACTCAGCAGCCCTTGAAATTCTATGTATATTTTCCATCATCTGGGAAAGTGAGTCTAAACCTGCCTTCATCCCACGGCCTGAAAGGCATGAAAGGGCCCGTAGTGCCTAAAGGAAAAGCCTATCAATACCTCTGGGCATTCACACCCCCAACCTGGAAAGCTAGCACCACCTTTACCTGTCAACCAATACACAACTTCTTTACCCTCCCCCATCCCGCCTATTACGTAAGTTCTCAGGACAGAGGACTCTAGGGCTTGACGAGGTTTGACGACTTGGCTCTCTGGCCACCCCGTCCCTCACCACCCCTGCACTTCCTACCCTGGCCTTTGGCTGCCCTTACCCTGCTTCACCCTGAACCTATGCCTTTCAGCGCCCCACCCCACCTAAACTAGGCCTGTTCACTTCCATGAGAACAGATCACCAATAAACCCTGTTACACACTAATAGACTTGCTGATCTTTAATTCTTTACTATATTGGTGAGGAAAATGGAGTTTCTACTGTAACACATTTACATTATATTGGCGCAGTAAGTACTTTTCAAAAATAACTGGCCGCCCTCTAGGCTCCACACCCCCTCACTATTTTGACGGATCCTTCCTTTGGCTCCGAGTTCATCTATGCACAGGGACAGACAGGCAAAGAGTGGGGCAGGGAGACTGCAGAGAGAGGGAGCATCTGTTACGTGCCTTCCAACCGCTTCCCTAGTCCTGTTAGGTCTAAATCTGCTCCGTTTTCAGACCAAGGCACTTGACCTGCAGGTGTGCTTCCTCGATGGGAAGAGCCAGCTGGAGCCCTACTGCCCACCAGGTGCTCACCTGGGCTGCCACCCCCTCCTCTCTGCTCCTAATCCTGACAGGATCCTCAGACCTCACAGGAAGAAATATTAATAACTAAAACTGCCTTTATTCAAGGGAGGGCAACAGAGAGGGGAACTCAGCAAAGAAAGTACTTGTTTTAATTCCATCTTAAACCCCTCGGATCTGTGAGTGTAAATTTGATACTGGCTTTCTTAAGGGATATAAAAGCAGGTGCAGGACGCTTATCACCAACACAGGGGTGGAGACCTGACACGTCCCAGCCTCCCCACGCTTGCCCGTCACTGTCAGAATATTCTATGGGAACCGTCCCTGCTGCTTGCATCGCCCTGCTTGTATTTGCCTCTGGGCTTTGCATGTTTCACAGCCTCTGCCTGTGATGCTCCTGATCATGTCTTTACCTAGTTAACTCTTCCTCCTACTTTTGGTCTTGGCATTGTGTTCCCTGGGAGGTTGTTTTGGTAACACTTTCAAGGGCCAGTAACAGTGCCCTGAACTCTTATTCTGCCAGTCATCATGCTCTGTTCATTTTGCTTGTTCATGTTCTAGCTCTCCTGACAGATTCACAGTTCCTTGAGAGTGGTGACTCAGTTGATCTATTTAAACCCAGCTCGCAGAAGGAACTGTTAACTGAAAATGTGATATAATTAAGTTGTGGACCTTTTAATAAAAACTTATTAGAAAACATTTTTTATTATTACTTTCACTACATAAGCTCCTCAAAGGAAGGCACTGAATCACAAGAACAATATATTGGTCATGGTTAATATCCAAGTAGTTGCCGTTATTATGCCCCACATACAAAAAGTCTCCATTAAGTCAAGGTTTCCGAATAAGTATTGCTATTACCTAAATAACTTTAGTTGTTTTAAGATTTTTCTTTTTTATTTAATAATTTTTCCCAGTTGTATTGAGATATAGTTGACATATACCATTGAATTAGTGTAAGGTGTACACATAATAATATAGTGTACGTATAAACTGCAAAAGGATGGCCACGTCCTATCTCGTTTTAACTTACTTTCAGCCTCTGCACGTCTAATGAAGGCTGTGGAGGACCGGGATCTGAGCAATCAGACAGGACTTGGAACTCTGCTACTGTGGAATACTTAGAAGAAAAATATTTATACTAGAAACTTGATCAGCAGAATTCTTTGCAAAGGCTGCTACCTTTATTCCTTCTTTAAAACCTTTACCTATTGGGGCAAATAAGCAAAATAACCTGAGAAATTCTGCATTTCTATTTTGCCACTTACCTAACATAAATGTTCTTATAGCAATATAAATTTTGCTTTTCACAGTTTTTTTTTAAGATTTTACTTTTTTAGAGAGAATGAGAGGGAGGGAGGGAGAAGGAGAGGGAGAGAAACATTAAAAAGTAAGAAATAAATGATGGGTTGCCTCTCTCACGCCCCCAACTAGGGACCTGGCCTGCAACTCAGGCATATGCCCTGACTGGGAATCTAACTGGGAGAACTTTTGTGACCTTTTGGTTTGCAGGTTGAAGCTCAATCCACTGAGCCACACTGGCCAGGGCTATCTACAGTTTTTTAAGCTTGCTGCACTATTAACTACAAACGATATTTTATGAGGAACAAAATTCACAAAATAGTATCTTCAGTTTTATACTGGACATCCATAGAAAAACAGAATGTAGTATACAGGCAGATTTTCTGCAACAAATCCATTCCATTTACGGCGGACTATTAAGTATGCTTCCCACGAAATTGAGAGAGCATGCCTTGTCCTTTCAAAGAAGAAAACCTACATAAC